TTCAGTCCTGAGCATTTTATACTTAAAATGTAAAAATTAGGTAAAAAGCGTTGATTTGATTTTCAGTCTATAAATGATTTACTATACTTTGTTCATTTGGCTAAGCAATAATATTGTCTTGTACCTGTAATACTTAGAATATGATATACAGAACTGTATTAACATACTGATAAAAGGAATATGAGGATTATTACATTTGTAATGTTTGTTCTATCTTGTGAAGGACAAAACCAATGATAAAAGTGATATCTGTATGCATGAAACTTGACTGGCATTTGCCCATTTTTGTATTTTTCAAAGTTGTTTTATCACTGTTGTTTAATAAACACAATAAACTGGGTGAGTAGAAAAACAAACAAACCCTGAACTATTCAAAATGTACTCCTAAAAATGAGTTGATACTACTGTGGTCTCTGTGAGAGAATGTATTAATATACGGAAAAGTTCTCTTATTTTATAAATAAGCAACCAATTTAGAAAGACTCCTTTCTAGTCTCCTCTCAATTTCATTTAATGTGTGTCTGTCTGTTTTAACCTCCTACGAAACTAGAGAGCTGTATACATTCCTCATAGTAGCTTTTGTAATCTGCAAAATTAAATGGACAGAACTGAACTATATTAAGAAGTACATAAATAAGACTGAAAATAAATAAATCACAAGGTACAACTCTATACATCATTCTACAAACATATTAATATTGTCAAACTGAGAAGCTGAAACAGTCAACCTTCATTTCTATATTAAATAATCTTGAAGCTTTAGCTTTTAGAGATTGACCTCAGCAAAACGAATGGCATGTACGTGTTTCAATCACTTCTAAAACATGGGTAGAACAACAAGGGGGATCCATGAAATATCAGGCACAGTTAGTTAACTATCTCGAGGTTTGTTATGTTTAAAGGACCTGAACAGTAATACAGACTTGTGCATAATAAGAGAACCCTTGAGGAGATTTAGAAAAATAAATTTAAGGCACAATTCTAAAGATGGCAATCAACATATTCTTGTTATAGTCTTCTTATCTTTCAGGAAGTCTACCAACATTCTCAGAAAATAAAATACAATATGTCAACATGTGATATGCTGTAAAATGGACAGTGCTCAAAGAGCTCACAATTGCTTTCTTGGTGGATTTCACATATAACGTGTATTTGTAGATGTGTATCATATACAAAAGAAGAAAGGATAACTTGTTTGTGCTCTTCAAAAGGCTCCAAAAGTGTTGCACCAACCTGCACAATGTCACTTGAAATTCCAGGATCTGAATATACAGTATTTGTACAGATAACAGTCTGATCCTATAAATTATACTCAAAAGTCCTATTGAATGCAGCCTTAATTTAGAAAATGTTGCTCACCACTTCTAGGTCTCCCAGGCCTTCTCACTTACCAAGTGCCTAGTTCTGGGTTGCTAAATTCCTCTTGTAACATCACAGCAGCAGTTAATCTAATGAAAAAGTGATGACTGCTTTGTCCCCCAAGTCTCATTAAGATGACATCCGACCTAATCAGCCACTTGCTGCCAGATGACACTCAGAACAAGCTCTGATAGCAGAGATGCTTAGTATACGCATATGCACACTTGCAGATATATATACTGCTTAAAAGGGAACCAGAACATTTCCCCCTCCCACTTCAAATCCTGATAAACACATTCATATTGTCTTTTACTTTTTGTCACTAAAATTCTGTTCACAGAAAGCTTAGGTTCTAATCCCACAGCTATTGTGCCACAATTAATTTAGGAATCAACCTACACAATGTACTTTAATCTTAATCTTAATCATGTCATTTTAAGTGCTCCGAATCTTGGGATTTTCTTGGAAGGAATTTCTACATCAATGATAACAGATATTTGGTTCTTAAGAAATTCATCACTCTAAGGACCATTCCTCTGAAAACTTGCATGGGTCTGTTTGGGCTCTGTAAAACTGACTCTCCTACAGGCTACTGGCTGTGGTATTCAATATATAATGTTATACTAATATGTTAGCTTTGTATTTCAGTATTTGATTACTCAGGTTTCAATACTTTCTGTGTGAACCTGAGTGCAATTTCAGAAAACAGCTGCCTTTGGGTAGTTTCAGTTTAAACACATTTCAGGGTTAGACTTGCCCCATATTACCTTTCCCAGCATTTATATGTAAAGAGACTTGATACCCTCCATACAGCTCCAAATCCAATACATTCACAAAATTATACTCTTGCAGTCAGTATCCCATGCCTCTTCTTTTGTAACAAAAAATAATGAGAAGAAAAATGGTTTCCAAGTACAAAGTTCCAATGTAGGAGACAGAAATCTAAACAGCACCTGTTTGCATGAGGCAGCCTTGATGTTTTGGAAGAGGACTTGAGTTTGTTGCTAGCTAACTACAAAAAACAAAAACAAAAACAATCACACTTTGTACAAAAATATTGCATGGGCTAATAGCCATTTTCACAGTCTGCTCTTGTGAAAAAAGGGTGAAACAATACTTCCTGTTGAACATAGTATTTCTCGACACAGTGCAGTTCAACAGGATATACACACAAGGTACTGCCTTTGTTCCTTAGATCCATCTTTACAAAATAGTAGCATATCCATAATACATACAAACTGTACAAAATTAGCATCAGAGTACCAGAAGTATTGTACTTTGGTTTTCTGGTGTGAAAGATTAAAGTAGGTTAGAAAAGAGAGGGGCTTTTCTTGCCTTTCAGGTACATGTGTGTGCACATATATGAGCACAATGCATTCAGGGGTTTATTTTTACAGACAATATCTAGGGTTCGATGTAAAATAGAACATTTTTAAAACTAGAACTACACTATAAAAACTGTAATCTATAAAAAAAAAAGAATAGATGAACAAGTAGAAAACATCTTGTGGTAGAAAATAAAATTAGACATCATCAGCTGGCAGAGATGGTATACTGATCTTTGCTCTTGTGAAGTATGCAATCTTCTCCCTTAAAAAAGATAATGGAGAAAAAATATTTAAAATGGTTAAAAAAAATCAGTGAATACTAACATGTGCTGCACAAAATAAAAGAATAAAGAACAAGGGGCGACTTGTGAGGGACATGACAAGTTTCCATCAAAGCAAATATACCACTGCATATCTGAATCCTTAGGCTTTAAAATATAATATCTGAAGTCAATTGACTTGTCTCACTGAAGTAGTACTCAAATTGCAGGGCCACAAGCCCAAATACCTTTTGTGAAGTTCCCCTTAGCTACTGTTTTAAAAGGATAGATTTGGCATCCCAGCTGTGTACTTTGAACTATGGTTGTCCCTCCGAATTTGTGGGGGATCTATTCTAGACCCCCCCCCCATGAATTCAGGATTTCGTGAATATTCAAATGCCATTGTCCTCAATGGCAGCGCCATTGGGGACAATGGGACTTGAGTATTTCTTTTCCTCTCTCCCTCCCTCCTTACTTCCTTCCCTCCTTCTTCCCTCCTGGGAAGGCAGGTGCGGCAGACAAATGGCTGCGCCAGCCGCCTCAATGCCTCTGGGCCGAGGCAAGGCTGTGCCAAGCAAGGCCAGTGCAGCCGTCTCAAGGCCTCTGGAGCCGAGGCAAGGCTCTGCTGGTCACTTCAAAGCCTCTGGGGCTGAAGCAAGGCTGCGCTGGCTTCCGCAAAGCCAAGGAAAGGCCAGCCCGGAAAGGAGGTAAGGGAAGGAGCCACGGGCTTCACATTCACAAGTAATCAAAACCGCTAATGGCAAGTCCACGAAGACTGTATTAGAAATAACTTCCCACAAGATTGAGATGCATATGACATGTGAGGGTTGTCTATACCGACAAAAAAATTCACCTTCATCTCATATTTTTTGTGATCCATAGTGACCTCCTTAGTACGACACATATTTGAAACAAACTAGACTCAAGTTGAACTGACTGCCACACATTTCCCATCCCCAAATTCAAACTGGTACAAAAGGGATGTGCATTTTTTCCTTCCCAGCATGCCAAAATCTATCAACCAAAATTCTTCTTGTTTACCTATCAATCTTGCCAGCTTGCCATCTAACTGGTTGCCTCCTTCATCCAGTCTTCTTCCCCTCTTTGCATCCCAGTGAGTGATAATGAATAAGGATGGGAAGTCTAAATGTCTTCTCCCCCTGCCCCGCTATCTGATTATTTATTTTTTTAAAATGTGTTTTTTAATATCTTCTCTTTCTCTCTCTCTCACACACTGGAAGTTGCCCATCTCCTTTGCTGTGATTGCTGGCAATGGAGTACTTCACTCCAGTTGCTGTTGTCCATCTCCCCAATAGAGCCTTGCGGGTAAATTTGCTCTGAAGTCAAGCAATGGCGAAGGGCTCCTTTGCTGGCAACTGCAGCAAGGAAGATAGGCAACTTTATTCCATACAGTGTATTGGAGCTAATGGTAGATCAATTGGAATACCCCCTCTCTCCCCCGTCAATTCGAAAGAGTGAGCTAGCAAATGAGCGAGGGAGCATACACATGGCTGGGTGCCCCAAACACTGCAAATACAGAGTGACAACTGCATGTAAAACAAGTTTATAAAATACCAAATACGCCTTCTTTTCAGAAGCCCTGCTAGCCCTCAGTTACTATGCCTTAAATGTTAAAAATTAATAAATGGTGACACACAACAAGCTTGCCAGACTAGTCCTACCCTCCAGTTAGGCCACTCAGCCCAATTCCACCCGGATCCTGGCACACGTGTAAAAAATCTGGATTTTCCTAAAACTGTGAAGTAAAAAAGTAAGTTTTTAAAATTTGTATTAATGCCTAAAGGACGAACTTTCACTGTGAAACCAGTCATATGTCACGTTCCTACAGAACTAGAATTGGTGAGTGTGAATTATTTTGTCTGTGTAGACAACCTGTTAGTCTACGAAAGCTTATGCTACCAACATCTTTCTCTCAGTTAGGACAATATCACACTACGCTGTTATAGTGCTGTTATTCCACTTTAACTGCTATGGCTGCCTCCTGTGCAATCGTGGGATGTGCAGTTTAGACTTCCCAGCATGTGACTTGCCCAGGGTCACCCAGAGGGTATTGAACCCTGGTCTCCAGAGTCATAGTCCAACACTCAAACCACTAAACTACAAACCCCAGAATTCCACGGGAGGCAGCCATATCAATTAAAGTGGAATAATAACACTCTAAATCTCTAGTCTCAAAGGTGCTACAGCAGCGATCCCAAAACTTTGGTCCTCCAGGTGCTTTGGACTTAAACTCCCAGAAGCCCTAGCCAGCTAGGCCAGCAATCAAGAATTCTGGGAGCTGAAGTCCAAAACATCTGGAGGACCATTGTTTGGGAACCACTGTGCTCCAAGATCCCTTTGTATAGTGATCCAGAGTAACACTGTTATAGAGCTATTATTACCGGTATTTGAATTTTACCAAAGAATGGTCATCAACCTGGACAGCTTGAAAAAGGAGTTAAGACACATTCATGAGCAATAATGTTAGTACAGCTGCTATAAAGGACACAAGCAGGAGGATGTTGTTGCTTTCATGTCTTATTTATGGGTTTCCCATACACACCAGGGGCCCTTTCACACTGCAGAATTATAGCATTATGATTTCATTTTAGCTGCCATGGTTCCATCCTATGAAATCCTTGGGTCTGCAGTCTGTTGTTGTCATTGTGTGCCTTCAAGTCGTTTCCAACTTATGACGACTCTCAGGTGAACCTATCCTGGGGTTTTCTTGGCAAGATTTGTTCACAGGAGGTTTGCCATTGCCTTCCCCTGAGGCTGAGAGCATGTGACTTTCCCAAGGTCACCAGAGGGAATCGAACCCTGGTCTCCAGAGTCATTGGACCTTATCACACGCGGCCCACAAAGCGATAACAAAGTGAAAT